AGTCCAGGAAGCTGTTTTAAATCCATGATCTGTATTCAAAACTCACTTGAAAGTGCACCAATCGTCATGTTTTCACACTGGTTGAAGAAAGGAAAAATTCTTCACCAGAAACGTTTGAGGACTTGTACACCTTGGTCTTCCATTTTGAGGCCACCTGAACTTTGATTTGTATTTCTCCCTTCCATTGTAAGTCCCTAAGAGGTATTGCTCCATTTTAGTAATAAAAACAACACCCTGGAAGTTTGTAGATTTGGCCTAAAACATGCCACGATTAGCTGCACTTTTCAAGCGCATGATATTAAGACAAAAAATTGTCTTTCTAGGACCCCTTGAGTCCTCTAAAAATATGCTCAGAAAGTCAATTCTTGTCTTTTTTTGTCCCTAACAACAATAGAACAATAGGAGAACCAAAAAGTCTTTAGGGAGGGTAGGAAAGGCAATTGTCCCCACATGCATTTTTACAGCTAGTTATGGCTGGCACTGGCATTTGAGGGGTGGTTTTTGCACAGCGGGTTACGGCTGGCACAGGCATCAATGGTTTAATGAACATACTTTCGTAATGTGTGGTTCCAGAAAATATCCACACCCCCACGGAGGGTTTTTTCCTGTTTGACCACCCACCCCCCAGAATTTTCCATTCCAGTTGGCTTAGTGGTACTCTCCCACCTCCTGGAATTTCCAGTATTTTTCTTCTTGGGTCCCCCTAAATTCCATATCCACTAATAACAAGAGTTAAGTCATTTATTTTAGTCTCCAAGGTACTGTAATAAAATTTAGCCACAACTATTTATGGTTATATTGTAGACGAAGATGCAAGGCAGCACATTTTTCATGTTACACCAAGGCAAACAATTGTAAACCTTAATTTGGTCTCAACATGTTCACTATTTTATTGTAGATTATCTATGGGGATATTTACTAGGTCAGGATCAAAGCTGCTTGGTAACAAAAGAATAAAGCTCTGAGATTTAAATTTCCCAAAAATGAAGGTGGAAAAGTCTAGATGTAAATACAAACGCATCCCTTCATGTCATATAACAATTTGAACTAATAACTTACTTCGAAGCTCTTTACTCCCGAACGGCATAACAGCTGACTTTTTCTTCATTCAAAGAAGTTTTCTTACAAGAATCTCAAGGAGTACTGAAATTTAAGCTCTTTCAAATAACCCAGTAGAAGTTTTAATCTATGCATAGTCAAAACAATATATTGAATTACTTTACACGTGCAGTTATAGCAGGAAAGCAAAGTTGTCATGCAACATGTTTTTACAAAACACCTGTTTGCCGAGTATTGCTTAAATTTTTCTTTCAGTAAAGGAATTCTTCAATAAAGTCATACGCTTAGTCTTTGTAGCTTCTAAATGATAGTAAATTCATTTTATGCCTAAGCGTTTTAAATTGGTAACATGTTTAACTTCATACACATGAAACACATTGTTCAGTCATGCTATAAATAACCGAATGAAATCTTGGCTACCACTCCAGCACTCCTTGCTATCAACAGTTACATATACTCCAAGACAAATGGCATTGAATTGACTTTGCTAACTTAAACAAACTATTACACAGATAACGATGAAGATATGTGATAAACTTGTTACAGCAAATGTGAAACGGGATTAATTTTGTACAAGTATCAAATGAAATGAATAATGCTGGAAAAAGCATCGGCTGAGTTTAGGCTAAATACAGCACAATCTAAAGTATAAAATGTACAAAATGTCGTCAACTTCATTGTATAGCTCCACTTCTTCTTCGACATTTTGTTGGACTTGACATCCAACAAACAAAATTTTAACGTGCTGCTCTGGACAGAATCTTACATTTATTTCAACAGATGGAACATTTCTGTTGGTTTGGTTACCTGAATCAATTGGGAAAGTACGGTAGTGTTCATTCAATCGCATTTCACACCCACTGCAGGGCTCAAAAAATATTTGAATTCCACCTTGCCCGTCAGGCAAGTAACCCTCAAATTTTGCTTGCCCGGGGCACTTCCCCACTTGCCCAAGTTTTCAAACTCATTAATAATTCATTAACCCAAAAATGGAAGTCAAACTACATGCATGTTTTAATGTAATAAACCTATCTTGACTGTAGTCCTCTTAGTGCTGATCAGTTTCATGTTTACGCCATTATATTGTAATACTTTCACAATTTTTAACTTCTTCATTCTGCTTTTATGAAGTTGTACGGTTTGTAATGATTAACATGGATGAACTCCCAGTTGAAGAAACAAGGTTTGCGAAGTTGTTACCGTTCGTTCGTGTACTTACTTCCTAATTCCTGTATAACATGCTGGGTATCTTCGTTATTATACAGCCTTGAATCAATTTGTTGAATTCGTCGAAGATCGCGTTCGACTCCTTGAATGTTCACCTGCGTCTTGTCTAGCTGCACGAAATCATTGTGAAGAGAAGGGCGAGAAATTTGCAGCACGCAAAATTAACAACAAGTCGCCTTCCCACTTCAGTTTTGACACAGGCACAGTGTCGAATTTGAAAAGCGGGCGAGAGCATATTTTTTCATTTGGGTGAATGAAAAATAGTTTCAGTCGAGGGAAAACGTCTTCGTTTGAAAGAAACACTATTTTATTTTGATGACTTACTTATCCATTTCTTTTTAGTAATATAATACTTTTCATTTTGCGTGGTGGCGCCCAAGTATATATGTTATCACTAGCAAACTTGCATGTTTCACCGAAAACAGAGATCTACCTGGATTTTAGCATCAAAAATGCTGGCTTCATTTTCGTGGTAGAAATATGCAGTCTCTTTTCGCGTACAATTTCTACAACTGTAATATATCGTTGTTAAGTTAAGTTTTGTACAGAGAAACTGGAAAATAATCGCAGAAAATAAAATAATTGCTAACATTTTAAATAAACATGGCATTTTTGTGCCCAACACAGCTATTTTTAACCCTGGAAAGAAATTTGATCGGGAGAGATTTTGGTCACATGCTTAGGCAACCACTTCTGAGCCGTGAGTACATGTCACGTAATCAACAAAACAACGCTATAAATTGTAATTTTCGTCAAGCTTCATCTAAACGCTTGATTACCCTTGAGCCAAAAATTTACCTTTTTTTCTCAAAAGCGTTGTCAAAAATTTAGTTGGCGAACGGCTTTCCTGGGTCCTTGCCCATGGGGCAAGTAAGGAGAGAAAGTTACTTGCTCAAAGAGAAAATCTACTTGTCCCGGACGACCGGACGGGGGTTTTTTCAAGCCCTGCCACTGGAAAGAAAACTCCTTTTGAAAATTTACCGCGTTCAGACCTCCCTACCCCTCAGGATTTCTGTGACCCTCTATGGGGGTGGAGGGGGGGTATGGATATTTTCTTGGACCAGACAATAATTGGTCCAGTCCTGAAATTGTTGTCAGACTGAGTGTAAGAGTCTTACATGTAGATGTGGAGCAATTTCTGGATAGGGTTAAAGGTAAAAATAAAAGCAGCAACAGAGGTACATGTAGAAAATGATTAAAAATATTTTAATTTTAGAACATGTTTGAGATCAGTAGCTTGAATTTTGTCTTTAGCTTACATGTAAAGTATATACGTATATATATGTGACCCTCTGTGGGAAAACTGAGCTTGTGAACGCACTGTAAGGTAAAGGTAAAGGTAAAGTCTGCATGTGAGTCACCTGACCCATCAGGCCAGGGCTTATCACTGGTTTCCGTAGTATGAAGTGACTTGGAATATTTCCACTCCCCCTGGATGGGATGCTTTACTTACAGCACTTACTTTGCCCGTACCCATTTATACACCTGGGTGGAGAGAGGCACTATGAGACTAAAGTGCCTTGCTCAAGAACACAGCACAATGTCCGTGGCCAGGGCTTAAATCCGGACCACTCAATCTGGAGGCAAAGGCACCAACCATGAGGCCACTGCCCCAATGTAATGCTTGATAATGATTTGCGACAATTTTCAACTTTGTGTAACAGATTCTTGATATGCAATCATTCAAGAATGATTTTCTAATGTTTTTCAACATATTGAAAATGGTTCCAAACAAAAGAGTAACAGGCTGCAAAATTTAATGCTTTTAATCTCAACACAATGGCAATATGTGTGGGGGTCATTTTGATAGCATGGTGCCGTCACGCTATTCTACAGCGTCAATTAAACTGGCATGAAATAATCACTATACATCTCCAACATCTATGGAACATTTTATTGAATATTGGACCATTTTTTCAATAGCATCACAAACTGTACAATGGCATCTTGAACAGAAATATTATCAGTTGAACTATATACTTATTATGTGGAATTAGCAATGTGGCAGTCAGTGAACAACCTTTCCTATAAACCTGCACATGGCCATAACTCACACCAAGCATTATTCAGTAATCCACAAATTACATATTATTTTAATGTATAGTTTGAACCTGGGTTGATCTCTCTACCTTCGTAGCCAGCTACGTATGATGTTTACAAATTGAACAGTGGATTAACAACCTTTTTAATTTTTCAGTCCAGGCGAGATTGTATTGACATTGATCTGCTATAACCATGATAAATTTATTTTCAGGTAAACCTGAAGAGTTTTGTGTCAGTTTTGCCAGATCAAACAGTTTAATTTTGTGTGTTGCATTTTCTGTGTAATTTCCAGACTTTTAGGCAGTGAGTACAGTTTAACATTTTACAATAATTTGTAAGCATTTGGAACTGAATTGAATGTTTTGGTGCAAAATGCTCCTCAACACTTGGCTGTTTCATTGAAATGCTTTTTCAGCAAAACGCATTGGGAAACACCATCAACATTTTTAAATGCATTAAAACATTTTCTGAAGGCATTCTGATGCCTTGAAATAGAAAACGGTACTGACAACACAATTTTCATTAAGCCTGGTTTTCCCAAACAGGGTCATGTATACACACGTGTAGTGGATGTGTAGAGTCCAAACTGATGGTTACACCGTAGGTAATTATAGATAATATGTTTATTGTCATTGTCAATTAACATTCATGGAACATTTTCTTCCAATCAGTATCATCTCCTAGCAAACATGGCAAAAGTGAAAGCACAGAGTTCATCCTGTTGAGTATTTTTGCTCCAGTAGCTGCTCTTATAGTCGGCATTATGGTCGTTTGCCTGGTGTATCAACTTTTACAGAAACGTCAACTTAAGAATGGTAGATATCCAAATCTAAGGTATGTTCGGCATGCAACAACAGTTCATGAAAATGGTTGCGGCACAGTAACGGAGTGTGGCAAATGTAGTTCGTCCAAGTTTTCAAAATTTGCTCAGCGCACAGCAGCACAAGATTTAGACTTGATTCAAGTCATTGGTGAAGGTCGATATGGCAAGGTGTGGAGAGCTCTTTGGCATGGTGATGATGTTGTGGCTAAATTGTACATTCCAAGTGAGGAGAAGTTTTTCAAGAATGAAGTTGACGTCAACAACAAAGTAGGAAATCATGAAAACATTCTTAGAGTACAACACTGTCACACTGCATTTTTATGGAATAAGGTGACATACAGGTGTATTGTAATGGAGTTTCATGAGAATGGGTCTCTCTATGACTTTCTTAATCATAGACCTGTCAGTATAGAAGAGATGTGCTCTTTAGCTCTTTCTGCTGCTCGCGGATTGAACCATTTACATGGTGAAATCTATGGACGTAAGGAGAAGTACTCCATCGCACACCGTGACATAAAATCCAAGAACATCATGGTGAAATCAAATCTCACGTGTGCAATCGGAAGCTTGGGATTGGCTGTCGTCCATGACAGATCACAAGATAAGATCATCACAGAGGACAAGCGCAGGGGAACAGCACGATACATGGCCCCTGAGGTACTGGATGGCTCAGTGGTTAAATCCTTTGAGTCCTACAAACGAGCTGATGTGTATTCCTTTGGTCTTGTTTTGTGGGAAATAACAAGAAGAACGTTTACTGAAGGTACAAGTTATGAAGTTGTACATTTCTGTGTTTCTTTATCACGGTCATGCTGTTGTAAAAGGAGACATTGATGCTGCCCTGAGAGTTGTGTCTGGCTTAGAAATAAGTGCGTGCTGGTAGAAATATTTTATTCTACAGCGCTCATGAGAGGATCCCTGGCTGTGTCTCGTAGGATCTTGTGTAGGATCTTAAAGGATCCTGTAAAGATCATCACTCAGAACACCTGATGAAACTATTCAAACATTAGTTTATAGCTTCCTTATTTGCACTCCTCGTGGGGAGCAGGGATGGTGCATTGGTGAGAGCGCTCGCCTCCCACCAATGTGTACCGGGTCCAATTCCGGCTCGGTGCCATATGTGGGTTGAGTTTGCGGTTGGTTCTTGCTTTGCTCCGAGGGCTTTTCTTCAGGTTCTCCAGTTTTCCTCCCTCCACTAAAAACAACATCTCCAAATTTAAATTCGACCAGGATAGAGGACCCATATGAAAACCAGCTAATGCTGATGTGGCTTCTTCTCTAAATGTTAATTTATTTTACTGTGTTGTCGTAAGTCTCGCATCTTTTTGTTTTATTTTTAAGGCATCAGGCCAGAGCGTTATGAGCTTCCATTTTATGACATGGTAACAGCAAACCCTGGCTATGATGAAATGAAGAAAGTTGTCACTGAACAGGAGAAAAGGCCGCTTGTTCCCAACAGATGGACGGAAAATAGCGTAAGTGATCTATCACATGACACAAGTTGTGTGCTTTTCAAATATAAAAATTTCCCAAGTTCATCTCGGTGCCTTACATGTACTGCCCCAAAAAGTTGTTGATGTTGATGATTACCAATAATTTTTTACCATTATATAGTTCAGACCACTCTTCACTTGGTACTGTACGTTCTTAATCACATAATAACTTCATGTGATAACTACACTACTTGGAAGGGAATTAAAAAAGTGTAAGCCTACGTGTTTAGTGTAGTACACAGACACCTGTACCTAACTCCTGTCCATAATCAAATGCATGTACAGTTAAAAAAATTTCAACTAGAAGACATTTTCATGATTTGCCACCAAATTCTCTTTGCTAACTTTTAAAGAAACATTCCTACTAGTAAGGAGAAGTGATGTTTTGAGAGTGTGATTGAATTTTATTGTTGCCATGTTTTTGTTTTGTTTTTTTGTTTTTTTTTCCAGGCACTTGAAGTTATGGGTAAGTTGATGAAAGACTGTTGGAAACAAAATGCGTCAGCTCGTCTCCCATCACTCAGAGTGAAAAAGACCTTGTCAAAGCTAATGGAAATGGTTAAACCACCACCAACAAATACATCTTTGTCAGAAGAATTGTCAGCCTTTCAGGATGTCAATATACACATTCCAGAGAACTGTGAGACTGCCAAGGTGTAAAGTCATCAAAGGGTATAATAATTAGTGTCATCTATGGCATTCACCAGTTAACGGTGATCAACAGTCATTTGTTAACAAGTGACACCATAGATTACTGTAGCCTGAATATGCTCGCAAACCCTTGTGAGGTCACCCAGCTTATGATCTCATCATGTCCTGACTCATGAATGCGGTAACAGAGAATTATTCCCTTTCAGTTATGAGCTCTTTCACTTTTTTTTGTCTTCACCTCCAGACCAAATATTGCTAAAGTAGTGTAGCAGTACTCGTCTGCTACAGACGAAAAATGATGTATGATTACAACTATTTAATTAGGATTATTTTGTGTTGTTGCACTTGATAGATTTTCTGGGTTTTTTTTATGTAGACTGAAAGAATAATTTTGAAATGTATTTTACGCCTGATGCAATAGACCAATTTTGATATATTCAAATTAAGCCTAACACAATAGACCTCAGCATGAGGCTCTGGAGAATAAACCCCACAAACTCTGTAGTTATTCCCCAGAGCCTCATACTGAAGTCTATTGTTTTAGGCTGAATTTTAATGTATTGAATTGGTCTATAAGGCAATATAAAAAGTTGTCTTGAACACTGAGAAATTCTGTGTGCATGTGGAGAAAAGACCACTCTGTTTTTTGGTAGTGCCTTAGTAGTTTTAACGGGTTTTTACATTAAAAAGTAATAATACATGTATTGTGTCACAGATCTAAGTCCCTTGGTTACTTGTAGATACCTCATTAAGAGCTCATCATTGTGAATTAGTTGCATCAACTACGCTTACAATCTGGAGTTTACACAAACATGCAACTACTAAAGGAGTGGTGCTTGGAAACAAACTGTGTACCGCTCTTATTGGTAGCTGCAGCCTGCAGTGTCATTGGTTGCATGTATTGTACTAGTGGCCATTTCTGAGTTGAATTCTACCTCTGTGTCAAAGCAAGTCTTGGACAAAACCATTCGTGTGAAAATGTGTTCTGCGTGCAGATTTATTTTCATGTAAATCAAACTTATTTTCATTAGAAAGGTTTTGCACGAGGACTCAATCACAAGGTAATTTGAAAAAGGCCTAACACAGGTGACATGTATATATTAACATAGTAGACAATGGTGACTAAACACTAGGGTTACCAGCTGATCAGGAATCGACAGTGTTATTTGGCAAATTTCTGTCACCAACAAAAATGAAAATAGTATCAAAATTTAGTGAAACAAAAAGAAATCTAGGTAGGTAGAGTGGGAAACTTTTTTATGGAACCAATAATGATAACAAGTTTCCTGTGTTCTACCTCCTGAAAGCAATGCTCGCTAGCTTTCATTTGAAAAATCGTACATACTATGATTTCACTCAGAGCCACATTAGCTCATGATTGAGAGTGAAAGAGCAAGATATTAAAACCTCCCATAACTGCACACTGATCTTGTGTAGTTGCTTCACAGCTGTGTCATGACCACTCTTAAATATTAACAAAAGTTTGGCAGTGTCTCTTTTCGGTATGTCACCTTCCCACGAGTATGTGCCTCCTTTAAGTAGAGGGTGACCTTTGAATATTGGTGCAACATCACAGGGGCTTTAAATGACTTAGCATGGTAGTTTTGCTTTGCTAAGCTCCTCATGTTCATAACATCGTTTGAATTAAGGATTTTATATGGTAAGGTACAGAGGGCTGATGCAGTTTCTAAATCTGAAGAGATGTCACAAATGTGCTGGGGTGTATAAGTGCTTTATCATACTGAATAATAAGACATGTACAGTAGGAGATTGAGGGATTGAATAACTATTAGATGTGCCTTGTGGCAGGGCATAGACGTCCCTGGGATTTGTAAGTGCCCCAGGGCTTGACATTTCCTGGAGCATGCAAGTGCCCTGGGACAATCAAGTGTCCTATAGGTATGGCAGGTCCCTGTGGAATAAAGAAGTGCAGAGACTTGAACCTTCTCTGAAGTTTGGCTATTTTTGCCTGATGAGTGCAAGTTGACAATAATACTGTTGTAAGTCAGATTGAAACCTAAGGTACTTGCCATTATGCCAGATTGACCGGTCAGAGACCAAACCAGGCCAACCAAGAAGAATGGCCCTTACCATGTTTTATTCGTTTTCCGAAATCCCTACATAAGTGAAATATAGTGAAGAGAAGTAGGGCAATGAACAGGTTTGTCAACGTGGAATGGCAAATTTCGATCCGACCGGTCAATGTGGACCACCTCCAGAGTTGGTCCCGAATATTCCGGTCGGAATAAACCGAAACGGATCTTTCCATTTGACTGCCAACCGAAAATTCCGGAATCTTTGGCATATTGAAAAGTACCCCTGAATTGGGTTGAGCTGTTTCTGTAAAGCGTTAACTTATGGTTATCCTGCCTGTAGTTTTTAATCCAAAACCGTACTACACCAAAGCTACCCTAAAATGACTCCGGGGCTCACGAAAAATATATTTTGTAGTTAGTAAGCTCTATGAGCTATAAAAAAAAAACTGTATACATGTATATGATGACTAGTACGATTAAAAAAACACCCTTTGGAAAGAACACCAGTTAAACTGATTCCTCCAGTTAAATGGGAGATGGCCCAGGGACTGGGCTATCTGCAGGGGTTTTGCTGACGTACCCCCAGCATTAAATTTGCAGGTACCCATTTATACCCCTGGGTGGAGAGACACTGACACTGCTGCAAACGTTAAGGAAACCACTGTTCAATAACTCCGTATTTTATATTGTTAAAAGAATGTAACCGTTTTTCTAATGCAAATCCTTTTACTTCGACTCTGTCTTACCTGAATACTACTGTACGAACAGGGGGCTTGGGCCACTTGTGATTCCATAAATACACGTTGGATACGAGGTGATAAATAACTAGCGAGGTGCCGAGTTTATTATTATCATGTCGTATCTAACAACAAGGGCGAATGGAAAGATATTGTTTTACCTAACAATTATTCCACGAGCGCGCGTTGGATATGAGATGGTATGCGCCTCGTTGGCTATAATCATATCGTATGCAACAAGCGAGAGTGGAATAATTGTTTTATTAATATCCTTTTCAGAAGTCGTACTCAATGTTTACAAGTGACACGCGACTCAGTTGTATTTTGCACTTGTGATTTACAAGTCGGTCTCTTGTAAAAGTTTTTTTAAATTTGATACTTACCATCTTTTACAAGGGTAGTGGTACACCTGTAGTTACAAGTCCACTTGTAACCTGGACTTGTAACGATTTTTATTAAACTTGTTTTCGTCTACGCTTGTGCATACAATGGTCCGACTCTTAGATCACAAGTGTAAAAGCTTTGTTATCTAGGGCCTGATTACATGAGCCGGGCTGCTTCGGTGTGCCGAGATGACATTCAGCCCGGTATTGCATGAGGCGAGCGGTTGATGGCTGATGCGATGAACCGCGGGAGACCGGAGCGAGCTTGATTTTTCCCTTTTTTTTTTTTTTTTTTTT